CGAGCGGCGAGCGTGGCGGCACGCCAGGTGCTGGCATGGAGCAGCGGAGCTGAGCTTTCCCAAGGAAAATTAAGATGCTTCCCATCTTCCCCCCCCGGTGTGAACTGGCCTTCCCTGACAGGCGACAGCTCCCAGCCGTGTCCCCGGCCGGCTGCACGCCGGAGCCCGTCGGAGAGGCACGGTGGGGCCAGTGTGGCCGGGGCACGGGCTGTGCAGGGCCGGCTGCACCCCGGGAGATCTCTCGCTCCGATGGTGTCCCCAAGGAGCTGCCCCCAAGGAGCTGCCACAGAACCACAGGCAGGTCCCCGGCCAGGCTGTGCGTCCTTCAATAGATCCCTGATCAGTCTGAGATGGCTCTTGGCAGAGCTGCTGCGTGGTCCATGCTCCGGTCTGCCGGGGAGAGGGGGCTCGGGGAGCCTGGGGTGCTGCTGGCGGCTGGGGAAGGCTGGGGTTGATGCCCAGGGTCCCTCTCCTTGCTCTGTGTGAGAACAGCAAGGGGCTCTGACGGCTCACGCAGAGCCAGGCCCCATCCCACGCTCCGAGGCTGTCATCCAGGAGAGCAGCCCCTGCCCCGCAGAGCCCCCGTCTCCCTGCCATGTCCCCCATCCTCAGCCCCTCGCTCCCGCTTGGCTGGCGGCGGTGGCTCGGCTGCCTTCCCCGAGCTGCCTGTTCCAAGGTTCATCGTTTCCTCTGGGCTTCCATGTCTCCGGTTGTTTGCTTCGCTTCTCGTGGTCACTTTAGCTGTAACTTCCAACCCCTGGCTCGGGAGCAGGATAGTTTCTTCCCGGGAAGGCTGCATCTGCTGAAGTCTCTCGTGAGTCACGTCTCTCTCTCTTGCCAGCCAGCCCATCCTCTCTGCGCTCAGTCGGTCTCGCGGGTCTTCTCTGCACCTTCTCCAACCGCTCTGCGTCCTTTGCTGGCTTTGCACGGGGTTTTTCTGTGCTGCTTTTATTGCTGCTTTGTGCTGAGAGGGGGGTTGATCTCCCAGCGGCTGTCCTGAGCCGTGCCGGGGGGTTTGCATCTCCACAGAGCAAGCTGGGTAACGCTGTCCCTGTCACCCCATCCCTCCCCGCCTGCAGGAGGACAACCACAGCTACTACGTGTCGCGGATCTACGGGCCGGGGGACGCCCGCCTGAGGGGGCTGTGGGTCGACATGGCAGCGGCCAACAGGAGCCAAGTGAAGATCCACGGGATCCTGTCCAACACACACCGGCAGGCCTCGGTGAGCCCGCGGGGCTGTTCTGCAGCCAGGGGTGTCCCCAGGGTCTCCTCTCCCAGCAGGGATTTCCCTCGCCCGGGGCAGCAGCAGCCCTTCTGCGTCCCCGTGACAGCCTGGTGGAGATCAAGGCTTGGGGAGGTTTGGTCTCCCCCAGCCCCAGTCCAGGGCTGAAGGGGATGAGCCGTGGGGACCAGGCACCCACAGGACCCTCGCTCCCATCCCTCTCCCACCCCTCCATACACCGGCTCCGGGAGCTTGCTCCAAGCCAGGGCAGAGCCGGTGGGCACGGACCCCTCCCTCCGCATCCCCTTGGGAAAACACCTGTTTTATCAAGGGCTGAGCGCAGTTCTCACCCTGTCTCCCTCCCACAGAGAATCGTCCTCTCCTTTGACTTCCCCTTCTACGGCCACCTCCTGCGGCAGGTCACGATAGCGACGGGTGGTGAGTTGGGATGGGACGGGGTGCCTGCGCTCAGTCGGCGTTCCCGTGGTGGGAGGGCTGGACACAGCTCTGGGGCTGGCTCTATCCTCACCCCTCATCCCAGAGCTGGGACAGAGAAGGGGCTGCAGCCCTTCTTGCTTTCTCCCTCCACCCCAAGTCTAACCCCTGCCCTGCTGCTGGTGCTCGGGGAGTCGGGTGCTGCTGGTGCCTCGGTTTCTGCAGCAGTTGAGGAGCTGCAGGAGACGCAGGGGGGTCACGCAGGCTTGGAGAAAAGCCAGGAGGGGATGCTGGGGGTAAAAAAAGGGATGGGTGAGCCAGGGCAGGGTGGTGGGAGGTCAGAAAGAGGGAGGGAGCATCCCGGGGTGGTGGAAGGCAGCGTGCGCTGCTTCACCCTCCTCTGCTCGCTCAGGTTTTATCTTCATGGGGGACGTCATCCACCGGATGCTCACGGCCACGCAGTACATCGCACCCCTCATGGCCAACTTCAACCCCAGCTACTCCCGCAACTCCACCGTCCAGTACTTGGACAACGGTGAGCCCTGCTCCGGCCGGCCCCTGTGCAAGCCGCGGCGGCTGCTGTAGCTGCAGAGCAGCAGGCAGCCCGGCTGCCCGCTCCTTCCTTGTAAAACTGGGCAAAGCTCAGCTCTCTGGAGCAAATAGAGGGGCCGGAGCCAGGTGAGGGTGTGGGGAGGGGGAGCCCAGGGCAGCAGGGGCTGTTTGGTGCCCGGGGGGGCTTTGGGTAGGGGCGGCTGGGATGTTTGGCAGGGGCTTGTTCGTGGGTCTGCTCGGAGTGATGTGCTGGAGATTGGGGGATGAGATGACTTGGAGCTTCACCGACGGAAGAGGACCCGTCAGGCTGTTGAGATGTGGGGCGTGGAGAGATGAGAGGACTGATCCGCTCTGGTCTTTCCCCCAGGGACGGTTTTCGTGGTGCAGTGGGACAAGGTCTATCTTCAGGGGAAGGAGGACATGGGCAGCTTCACCTTCCAAGCGGCCCTGCACAGCACCGGGAGAATCGTCTTTGGGTACAAGGAGGTGAGGAATGTTTCTGCTGGGGAAGGCATGGCAGGAGGGTCCCTGTGGGGGATCCCTGTGGGTCTGGGAGGAGATCCGGTATTATAACTGTTCACGTGCCGAGTTTGGGCATTCCCAGTGCCGCCAAAGCACCGGAGAGCTCTGCAGCAGCACCAGGAGCCTGGGCAGGGCTGGGGTCCCTCACGCCCTCTCTCCCCGGCTGCAGATCCCTGTGCCGGTCCTACAGATCAGTGCCACCCAGCACCCCGTGAAAGCTGGCCTCTCCGATGCCTTCATGATCCTCAACCCATCTCCCGATGTGCCTGGTGAGTCGCTGCGCTTGAGGAGCTGGGGGAGGCGGCTGCTGGGGCAGGGGAGCGGCTAATCCCTCCCTTGGGGATGCCGAGGCTCCCCTGGCATCGCTGCTGGGAGAGGGGGCAGAGGGGAAAGGAGAGATGAGACGTCCTCGTCTTTGGGCACTTCAAGACCCGATGCACTGCTTGGATTCATGGCAGGGAGCAAAGGAGCGTGAGGAGGTGTGCGGGGCTTGGCTGCATGGGTGCCCCTCGGGTCCCACGTCCCCGGGCGCATCCCTCTCGGGGCACATCTCTCCATGGCCAAGACCATGGCAGCCTTGTGCTCTGGGTGGCCCCCGCAGGTCGGCGTGGCCCCAGCCCACGAACGCTGTGTGCTTTGGCAACGTGCTGCAGGCAAAAGGGCCTCGTGCTCCTCGCCCAGCGTGTGCAGAATCGCTGCGAGCAGCCAAGCTATCGCTTCCCTGATTTCCAGCTGATGAGGAGGAGGGGAAGAATGGTTGCAAACGAGACTGCAGATGGACGAGAGGCTTGCGGGGTGCTGGGTGCCTCGTTCCTATAGGCGTGGGTGTTTAGGGGAGCCTACAAGCCGCACCGCTGCTGCTCTGGACTGTCCTTGAATGCACAGCATGGCACCAGTGCTGCGTGGCTGCTGCGGGCAGGGCTGGGATCAGCACCCGTGTCGGCAGGACATGGGGACGGCTGCATACATGTCTGCCTGCTTATTCCACGTGTGCCATGAGCTGCAGGCATGGCGTGAGCTCACCGAAAAGGCTCTTCCAGCCTCTCCTGTCCCCTCTTGTCATGAGGAGCCCAGCCTCGCTCCTGCCTCCCCGTGCTGCACCCGGCGCGGTTGCTTTTCCTCGTTATTTATGGACCCTGCCATCTGGCCCTCATTTATTACCCGTTTACAGCAGTTCATGTAAAAACCTTGGCCAGGCTGGATGGTGCCTCCCCTCCCCGCCCCGCCAGCCTGCCCCTGGCTGGGCTGGTGCCCTCCATCCCCATGGGCTTGGTGACCCCTGCCTGCACCTCCTGCCTGCCCTGGGGGTGTGAGGGGAAGCGGGTGGAGAAGAAATGCAAGAACTGGGCATGAAAAAACCTAATGAGGGGAAGAAAGAAGGCTTGAAGGGAAGGAGAGGAGGGGGTAGGAGGGGAGAGTGCTCCGTCCTGCCCATCTGCTGGTCTCCAAGTGCGGAGCAGAGCAGCGAGGGGCCGCGGCCGCGCTGGAAGGACAGGTTTGATTGTTGTCGCGGGGCACCAAGCCAGAGAAGCATCTTGGCTGGTGTCACCACGTCAATTAGCGGCAGACACTGGGAGAAAATTTGAGAGAAGCCTGAATAGACCCCTCGGGCCCCCAGGACGAAGGGGAAAGAAAAGAAGTGGGCAAGGCGTGAGGGAGATGGGGGACGGAGGAGGCTTTGGGGGGAAGGCGGCTGCCGAGCAGGAGCCTGGGGAGCGGCGTGGAGCTCCGGGCGAGCGCTGCGCACGGGGGAGGCTCACAGCGCCGTGAGTCACTGACGAGCAATGTGTTGTGCAGCTTCGTGTTTGTTTAGAGCGATGCAGGACTGGACCACATCCATCTTGGGAGTCTCTGGTCAGGGAGAGGGGACGGAGCTCCAAGCTCCTCCTAGCGAAACAGGGAAGGGGAGATGTGTGCCCTAACACCCTCCAGCACCTCCCGCACTGCTGCTCCTGCAGCCGGACAGCCGCCGTACACCGTCCTCTCCCACAGGAATGACCCCAGGAGCTGGGGCCACCTTTGCCTTTCAGCTGGGAGTCAGCAGCAGCCCCACAAGCTTTCCCCGCACACGCTGGGATTCACGCGTGGGGCAAAGCCCTTTGCAGGATGGGGAAGGGCGTGCAAGGTGGGCTTGTGCCCAGTCTAAAGCCAAGGCTTTGTGTTTCAGAGTCCCGCCGTCGGACCATCTACGAGTATCATCGCGTGGAACTGGACACCAGCAAGATCACCAACATGTCAGCCGTGGAGTTCACCCCGCTGCCCAGTAAGTCGGAGAGGCTGGCGTGGTGCCCCGGAGCGCGTTTCCCTCCCGTGGTTTCACCCAGCAACTACAACAGCCTCCTGCTTACAGAGAAAGGGGAAGCCAAGGCCGGAGGAGGCAGGTTCAATGCACGCTGGAAGGGTGCGTGGCTGCCGTCCACCACCGGCGCCAGGGAGGGAGGGCGGGCTATCGGCCAGGGTGCAGCTCGCCCCTGCTCTGGGGTCCCCCAGTCATTCTGCCTTTGGGAGAAGGTCTGCGCGTGGCTGTCGCTGAACGTCTCGTCCGTACAGCCCTGTCTGGATTTATCAGCTCAGAGTCACCCTCAGCCAACAGCAAATCCCACACGCGTGCCAGCCTGGCTGCTCCGTAGCTGAGACGGGAGCATGGGATGCAGCAAAGCTCAGCTGGCACGGGAGGAGCTGATAAAGGAGGGATCTGCAGGCAATTACACCTTACCCGGTTTGCTCAGCGCTCTCCAGCTAAGTGAGGAGAGCGGTGGTGCCAGCCACGATGTCCCTGGGAGCGCCGTGCTATGGTCCGGAGCTGCGCTCCATGCTGCTCCGCCAGCCCCTTCCTTGCGTGCAGCTGAGTCGATGGCTCCTGTTGCTCCCCAGTAGATCCCCAGTGCTTCGATTCCTTATTTCTTGCACTGACAGCTCTTCCCACCTGCCCAGCTGCTGAAGCTCCTTCTCTTTGCTCCATAAGCTGCAGCTAATTTTGCTGGACACTGCTTCGCTTCAGGTCTGTCTACAAGACATTTTCTACGCCTCCACACTGGGATGAAATTTCTTAAGGATCCTGTTAAATAGATACATTTTTAGTGTTCGGATCCAAGGGCACATGCGCACGAGGGAAAGTTGTCATGCAGTCCGTAAATACAGAGCAGAGAGTAAATCTGTCACGAAGATACCAAGGTTATGCATTTAAATGGTCTCCCCAGGGTATTTTATGACAATTTTAACAGCAGGCAGGGTTACTGCAAAGCAGATCATAAATAAGCATTCTGCAATAACTTTTTTTCTCCTTAAGACATGCTATTTTGTTTTTCCCCAGCTGCTAGGGTAGCTGAGAGCAGTATCTTCAGAGGAGCCACAGAGCTAGAGAGAACTAGACTCCACTTTTTCTTCTGGGCTTTAATTTTTAGCCTTATTGAGGTCAGAAGTGGATGAACTGGGTTAGCCTCTGCCTCTTCACCAGAGGTCCTTGCTCGCGCGCTGCCTCCACATGGCAGTCCGCTCGGGAAAAGCTCGGGATGGGAGAGCGGAGGAGATCGGGACTGGAGGGCAGCAGGGAAGCGCAGGCAGCCCAGGCTGGGGTAGCAGCAGCAGGGAGTTTGCTGAAGCGCGAGGGGCAGAACGGGGAGCCCGCGGACGGAGAAGCGATGGGTGTCTGGGTGAGGGTGGAGGTGAGCCGGGCGCCCCGGGCGGGATGGGGATGCTGCTGCCGTTCAGGATGCTGCGCACCGATGCGGGAGGTGACCCGCTCGTGTTCTGCCTTCGTCACCCGGTGTTTCACAGCACCGGCTCAGCTCTCGGCTCTGTCATTGCGGGCTGTCAGGGCCTCCCGAGGGGCTGTTCTGCCTTCGTCACCCGGTGTTTCACAGCACCGGCTCAGCTCTCGGCTCTGTCATTGCGGGCTGTCAGGGCCTCCCGAGGGGCTTGTTAAACTGCTGGTTTCCTTGACTTTTTTTGCAGACAAGCCCTCTTGGCCATCTTTTCTAGACAGGGTGACAAGCAAATGATGGTACTCTCCAAGCAGCTAGTCCTCTCCAGTGTGGAGATACTCTTGCAGAACTATTTAGTATGGACACAGCAACAGAGGGTTAAATTGTGTTGCTTCCTTCCTTCTGAGAAACACCCTCTGTACAATAAGAAATGGCATAAGTCTCAGATGTGTTTTAATTCCCAGCTAAACAGCATGGGAAGACATTTGCAGGTGGACTGGGAGTCCAGTCCTGCTAGAGAGGTGCTGCCTTCTCCCGCGGGTCCATTGCGGAGGGGCTGGGCTGGAGATGCGGCTGTTGATGCTGGGTCTACCCATGCCCCCAGCTTGCAGCACGTGCTCCCTCCTGCCCGTGCAGATGCTGGCGTGTCGCTGGTACGTCTCTCCTCTCTCTTTTACAGCTTGTCTCCAGCATCAGAGCTGTGAAATGTGTGTGACCTCGGAGCTGACCTTCAACTGCAGCTGGTGTCATGTCCTGCAGAGGTACCTGGGATGAGTTTCCTTCTCTTGCTAATGTTTCTATAGCTGGGAGAGCAAGTGCAGCTCCAGGTCTGATGCCTGTATTAGTGTTGCTGGGTTTTTTTATTATTATTTTCCTTTTTTTATTTTTTTTTTTTTTTGCTGCTTTTTGGTTTAGTTAGGGTGCTGCTCTCATAGTCTCATAGCCATGGTTAAGAGGTGATCTGATCTCCGCTCACAAGCCATTGAAAGGAGACGTTTCCCAAGGCTGGGGTTCTTGGTCCTAATGTTTTGCTGCAGCAGCTGGAACAAGTTGAGACCAGAAGCAAGACTCACATTTTTGTCAGTGAGATTAAACATGGGGGAAACTTGTCCTGACTTAGGCTGTGAGTTCAGGCAGAAGCGCAGGGCAGGGAGGCTGGGACACGCTCGGGTCCGAAGGGCAGCAGGTAGCTCAGAGCGGGGGGATGCTCACCAGCCCCCCAGCTGCGGGGACGGGCCCTCTTTGTCAGGGGTGAGGCACAACGAGGGTGGGGGGCACTTGCTGCTTTTTTGGGGGTAAACTGAGGATCTGGGGGGACGGGGCTGGCCCCGCTGCAGTCCCAGCCACGCAGCAGTCCTGCTCCGTGCTCTCCTTCAGCTCAAGCAGCGCGATACGGAGCAGGAGAGAGTTTAATGAGATTTTGCTGAAATATTTATTTAGAGCTCGTGGCAAGGGAGGGGACCCAATAACACAGATCCTCGCAGGTGGCACGGGGACCGCCGCGCTTGGGAAATGCCCGGCTCTCCCAGGAAGGCAAGGGCAGCCTTGGCTCGTCCCCGGCATTGCTCGCAGGGCACCTTCGCTCCTCCTTTCCGTAGCCCTTCTCTCGCTACGCTCAAGACTTGCACCCTTTCCTTACACGCACCGATTTCAGCAAGGTATGAGCAGGGCAGCTGGGACAGGGAGAGATCCTGCGACATCAGCGAAGTGACCCTGTAAATCAGGGTTGATTCACTGCCTTTCAGTGGGCTGGAATACAACCCGAGCCCGGGGAACATCATTTTTCAATGACAGTTGCTCAGTGGTGGCTTCAGATCAGAGAATATTATGTTCTCACAGCTGAGAGATGTGTGAAACCAGATGTGGCTTTGGTAGCAAAACCAAGCCCAGGATACAGTGCCTTAGTCTGCATCTTGTTCGGGCTGAAAACCCAGGGTTCAAGGACTTTGTCATTCTGCTTGTTCCAAAATCACAGTGTTTGCAAACCCAGTCTTTCAAAATCCAAGTCACTGTTGCTGATGTTCGCTCTTATCGCTTACAGTACGGTGACTTCTTGATGTGTGGCTAAAAGCCATGCTCCCCGCAGCCGTAGCCGCGTATCGGCAGCTCGGTCCTGAAGAGCTTAGGTTACAAATGGAAAGTATAAATGGCAAGCGTGGCAGAAACTGCAGGCTAGAGCAAGCCTCCCGCGATCTTGTTGGCTTTCAACCAGGTGGGTTTTGCAAAGCCAACGTGATCTTTCCCAAGGAAGCCGGTAGGGTGGCTTCCAGGCTTTGGACTTACATCCTGAGTCCAGCTCAGTGATTTAACCCCCGAGTCCTCCTAGCTCTTCTCTGGACAGTGGAGTTGTTTGTGTGTTTGCTTTTCCTGAGCCTGTAATCGTTACAGGAACTGCACTTTAAGTAAAGCTCTCAGTGACTCAGCAGGACCTGAAGTTTTGTGGCTTCTCCTCTTTTAGTGGTTGGTAGTTGGGTAAATTAGTGCTTGTATGAGCTGAACCCCTGATTCATATTTTGGTAGCCCCCCAGAGACTTTCCAAAGGTCAGAGTGCTATTTCATTCCCTCTGTGTCTGCAGAGATTTCTCTAGCTGGTGTTTTCCTGATGCCGTTTGTAATTTCTTTAATGTGTTTCTCCTGTGCAGATGTTGCTGGAAAAAAAAAGCCTCATGGAGATCATGGCCTTGCCCTGGCACAGAGTCCAGGGAATGGAAATTCAGACTCAGTCTATATATTTTTCCTATTTCTCTGCTTCGCCGTTTCCCTTGGAGAAGCGGTGTTGACCCTTTTCCTCCTCTGTGAAGAGGAACATTTGGGTCCTTCCAGCACAGCTGTACTGGAAACACCATGTCTTTGGAGACCAGCTTGTGTATAATCTTTCCAGTCCTCCGATATCTGTCTGTCCGAGGGGCTGTACACAGCACCCATCGGGGCAGCGCTGGAGACTCTTGGGCAGCTTAAAAATCGTTAGCGATGCCACCCACATAGAGCGGGCAAATGAGCATCAGTGTTGCTGTCTCTCAGGAATTCATCTCCCCCAGGTTAATGCTGCTTTTCTCCGCAGATGTTCCAGCGGCTTTGACCGATACCGTGAGGAGTGGCTGTCCTACGGCTGTGGCCAGAAGGTGAGGCTGAGAGAAGAATCACTTCTCTTAGGTCCTCTGCTAGGAATGATGCTGAACTACAGAAAAACCAATGGCCATATCCCAGCTCAAAGAATTCACTCTCCGCTCCGCTCGGCCTGTGCTGTTCTGGAACAGACCGAATATCCCTTCGGTTATCCCTTTCCCATTACAGCTGGACCACTGATCCACTTCACGGAGGCTGTCTCTATTGGAATAGTTAAAAGATGGATCCAGCGTTACCTGTCTTTGCCTTGCTGGCGTCTCGTTTCTGTGCTGGTCGATGCTGGCTGTTCAGTAAAGATGCAGAGACCTCCATAAGTTACCAAATGGTGCAATTTGAATACATTGGGATATTTTTTTCTTCACTTTCTGAAGCATGACTCTTACTCACTCTCAAGCATGAAGAAATTAGCCCTTGTGATTTATTTTTTTTTTTTTTTGTCCTTGTTAGCACGATTATCTCCACGTTGGATGAACTAGTTTCTTTGTCTCAGAAAGATCAGCTCTAACAAAACATCTGTTTCTCCTTTGGGCTTTTTTTTTTTTGTTGTTCATTTTTTCCCCCACTGAAAACTCAGCTTTGTTCCCTGTTAACCAAGAGGGTTGAGTGAGGGAAAAGGAGGTCACAGGACCTATGTAAGGCCATTCAGTGATGCAAGAAGGTCAGACTGGAGGACCTTGCCAGCTCTTTGTCATTTGTCCTACTTAAGTGGTTCCCAAACTTTTCCTCCTTTTCTCCAACCTCCAGGTCTCCCCCCCATACATCTCCTGGCACTTCTGGACCGTGTCCCCGGCTTCCACTCCAGTGTTTGAACCCCAAGGGCTCGGCAGCCCTACGCCCGGGAAGCACAGTCCTCACCGCTGGCTCCCTGGCACTCTTGCTGGAAGAGAGCTAGAAAAAGTAGCCGTTCTTCATTTTCTTTCCAGTCAGATGAGAAGACCTGCGAGGATTTAGCAGAAGGCGACCACTATTCAGCACCTCCTGGCAGCTCTTTCTCACCGCTGGATGAGGACATCACCACCTCCACGTCCTCACTCTTCATTGACAGCCTCACTACAGAAGGTAGGGGCAGGTGGGGTGAGCGGCTCTGGCAGGGACACCCCATCCTCGACACTTATCCTTGGAGAGATCCTTCACTCCGATGCCTCATAAAACCAATTCATATCCAAATAAATACAATAACAAACCCATCTTTGCAGCAGAAGGGCAGGGGTGAGTACAGGAGGCAGAGGAAAGGAGAAGGAAGGGCAGCCTAAGAGGTGCGACTCGGCGTGATGGGGAGAGATGAAACCCCCTCCATGGGAAGAGTTTTACAGTTGCATCGCAGCCTTTTTATGCATTTGTGAAGGTCAACAAGCAACTGGTCCCTGGTGGACAGACTCCCCGGCATCGTAACAGAGGTTAACACTGTATATAGGGGCTCATGCTTTTAATGGGCTTGGTCCTAGCTGGTGGCTCAGGGCTGCCAGTACTCTGACTGGCAAGAATACAGCATAAGCTTGTGATTGCCCTCTGCTCGGGAACGGTGTTCGTTCCAGCACAGGAAAGCTCCAGATAAGGACCTGAGTTTCCCTCGAGACACCCATGTTCTAAAGCTTGATAATCCTATTAACTCAGGGCTGGCTCCTCAGATCCTAGCGGCAGGTATCACTTCAATTTTGCTGCTTAATAGTCCCTAACGCAAACTGCTAATTAGAATAAATAGAAAGGAACATTAGTAATTGTCCTTCAGCGATGGGAAGGAGTTGGGGGGAGGAACGGAGTGCCTGGCTGACAGAGTTGACTTTGAAAGGAGCAATTAAAGGAAGGGGGAGTGTAACACCACCACTGAGATTATTTTCCAACTCATCGCCAATTCTTGGAAAAAGAACAAGAGGCTTTCTGTGACATAGTCAAGCATGAAGTTAATTTGTAATCTTGGAAGGAAACAAACAGCCAGCTGCATCAGGCAGCGAACTTTATCTGGAGAAGCCCAGCAAAGGAACAAGCAAAGCGAAGGAGCGGACTCAGCCCTCTGCGTCCTCCCCAGCCAGCCCAGTTCCCTGGCTCTGCTCATGGAGATGTCTGTGAATGTGTCCGACTCGCTGGTCGTGTGTCAGCGCTGCAGCTAGCGACCGTGTAAGCCAAGCAGGAAGAATTCTGGATCGGGATTTCAGCCGGACTCGCGAGGGTGGTGATGCGGAGACCATCAAGACACAAAGCCTTGTACGCTATGTCCTGGCTCTTCCAGAATGAGATGGAGAATGGAATCGGATTTTGGGCCCCCATGGAAGACATCGACAGCGTAACATCCCAGTGATTTATCAGGGATGTATTAGCAGTGCATTGCTGCAAACGCCATAGTCTGACCACAGACACCCACAAAGGGCTGGGGCTCTGAGCAGTCACTTCTTGCTCTGCTTTGCACATGGAGCATATTTAAAGACTGGTTTCCTCAGGTGTTTGTGCTCCAGGTGCCACCTTTGTGAAGGAAGACATCAAACCACAAGCCACGTGCTTTCGCTATTGTTGTTTTCTGTGTGCCTTCCCCTTCCACCAAACTCAGAGGTTTAAAACTGGTTTAAAACAGTTTAAAACTGGCCATGGGAATGCTGTGCAAGAGGTGTGTTCTGTTACAGAGGGGTGAAAGTGGGCGGGAAGCATACAGAATATCATAGAAGGCTCCTAACTTTATTTTTTTGCCTTTGTTTTCTTCTTTTAGATGATACGAAGCTCAATCAGTATGCAGGAAGCGAAGGTAAGCCCTTAATCTTCTCTCTGCCTGCTCACAGTCGTGCCAAGCGCAAACACGTTACGCTGAAATCTAACGCACCGGGGAGTTGCGATCAGTCAGCGGAGTGGACAGGTGAAACTGAGACTGGAGGGATGTAATCAAGATAAGACTCCTATTGTCCTCACCCTGATTAATACCATTTCAGGTAGTGAAAAGTGAGAGTCGGGACCCATCTGTTTTACCCTGATGCTGTTTGTCTACTTTTCCCACTTAGTCCTGCTGTGCAAACTAAGACGATGAGTGTTCTCTTTCCACGTAATTCCCTTTCTTTGCAGTTTTTGCATAGACACAAAGTCCTTTTTTTCCTTTGAGTTTCCCCAGCTGTGCCAAAGAGCAGCGTAAAATCCAAATTTAAAAAATATCCTTAGCCCAGCTTTGCCTTTTTCATCTCTGTCCCCGTGAATCCTTTCCCAGTCCGAGTTTGTTCAGCAGCCCCAAGGGCAGGGAACCAAACTGTTGCCATAATGCTCCTACTAATTTCAGAGTACGGGAAGGATCCGAGCCCTCTTCGCCTGATGTCAGGTTTGCAAGAGCTGCAGTCGTATGCAAACCACAAGCCCATCCCTGAAAGCAGCTCAGGGAAGTTTAACTGGCTAAACTGGGTGCAGGATCAGTTCCTTTGCAGGCCTGGGGCCTTTGAAACGCATGATCTTCCCAGTTCCAGCCAAATTGCTCCCCAAATGGCTGGTAATGGCACTGTTAATATATGCCACATACACCCTCTGTAGCTCTGTGCAATTGCATATTCATAGCCGAGGACCGAGGGCAAGCCGGAGGGCTGGGGGGAAGACACACCGAGGACCCCGCTCAGCATATGGCTAATGGCTTTCTACCAGAGTGAGCAGCCAATATATAAAGAATATGGATTGGAGGGGGGGGTTACTGCATGGCGGTGGTTTCATCTTTCAAACCAGCTACTGCTATCATCCGAAAGGGAGCTGGAGCTGAGAGAGCTCTCTGGCGCATCTCCCCCTCTTGCTGAGCCTGACAGTGCTCAGTCGTACGTGAAGGTCTTGCCTTGCTTTTCTTTCCTGTCCTCTCTTTTACCGAGGTCTCAGCACGGTTCAAGACTCAACCCTTTTTTGCAGGTGTGGGAAGCAGCCTTCCTTCCAAGAAAGCAGGCGCCCCGATTCACACGGGTACTATCGTGGGGATCGTTCTGGCTGTGTTGCTCATTGCAGCTATTATCCTGGCTGGGATTTACATCAACAGCCACCCCACCTCCAACGCTGCCCTGTTCTTCATTGAGGTGAGTGGAGAACCTTATCCCTGGCCGGTTTTTCTCTTCCTCTGCTGTCAACACGAATCCTAACCTTCTAGAGGAGAGCAGGGAGCAAAGAGGAACTTTGATAGAGTTCATATCCGAGGTTCTTGGTCCTGCAGTCACAGCTAATCTCCCAACCTCCAGCTGATGATGTTTTAAACTTAGGCTCTCTCCCTCCCACACTGTTTTATTTTGCTCCCTTTCACACGCTCCCTTTCACACATTGCCATTTTTTCCCCATGCAACGTTAGACTCTTCCACCTGCTTGCATGAGCCGTCGACACGCCGCCTGGTTGGAGGGCTCAGTTGGAGCTATGACATAATTGAGATCGCTGCCTTTTGAATTGCCCAGCTGGATTTTGTTGACTAAAATTGTCAGACTTTTTACTGATGGATGTCATGCCATCAGCTACTGTGTAAGTGGTGGTGTGAATGCTCTAAATGGAAGATTTTAATTCTCGGAAAGACAGGGGGTCCAACAATCTCCATCTGCTGTTAAAAGCCAGAAGACCGCTTGGTGTAGGATCCCGAGGCAGTCAGAAGTGGGCTGAATCCTGGCATAGGAGCTGCTGCGGAGGGAGTGAGCAACGCTTAGCCCTCAGCCTTTCCTTATCACTCGCTGGCTTTTTCCTAGAGCACTTGTCTTTCCTCCATCTGTCCTGTTTGCAGAGACAGGCTTCAGAGAATTGATCTGCATGGCCTCTGCCAGTTTAGTACCTGAGCACTTGGCAATGTCTGATGCATTTATCTTTACCCAGCTGAGAAGGGGCAATGCACTTGTCCCTGTTTTGCAGATAGAGACACAGAGCTGACGTGTATGTGGTCGCACGGGAAACCTGCGGCCGTCCTCGGCTGCACAGGGCACCCTTCTTCTGAGGCTGATGTGAGATTTCACTTAAAACGTCCATTTCCTCCCCGCTCCCCATTTTAAGCTTATCAGTGGGTCAGCTCAGTGAGATCGATGCAGCGTAATGAACTCTTTCAAGCATGAAGTGATTTTTTTAAATTTATTTTTATTAATAAAAAGTCAAACTTTCACAAAGACAGCATTGTTTTTGTTTCAGGACCGAGTTTCCAATTTCCCTGCAGACTTGGCGTGAAAGGCTCTGTCATATCTTCTGATGGGTCTTTGTTTCTGTCCACAGCGAAGGCCACATCGCTGGCCTGCCATGAAATTCCGAAATCACACCAACCATGCAACGTACTCGGAGGTGGAGCCGGCCAGCCAGGAGAAGGAGGGTTTTGTTGAAGCAGAACAATGCTGAGCACTTCTCCCCCTGCGTCTCGAACCTCCCATGTCTCAAGTGTTGGAGTCTTCTGTTATTCTATTGCAAAGTCTTTCCCCTCTTGGAAAAGAAAGAGCAAGCAGAGGAAAAAGACCCAATGGAGCATTTGAAAAGAATGAGTCAGGGCGATGTGAGGATTCCGCCTGGATTCCCCACGGGACAGCAGAGCCTGCAGCGGCGGCAGCCAGGTGCGACACCCGGCACCGAAGCCCTGGATGTGGCGGTAGAAAAAAGAGCAGTCAAAGTTTTCATTTGGCATGGGTTTTTTGTTTTGTGGTTGGGTTTTTCCCCCCCGCCCCGTGTGTGGCTGACCTCTTCCCTCCTCCACCAGGAGTCTCACAGGGGCAGCAAAGGGGGGGCAAATCTTGGTACAGGCAAAATACGCAGTTGCCTCAAGCAGCAGGCTCTTGGGGACAGCAAAACAGTTGATTTTTGCTGCACAGTGGCTCTGCACTCAGGAAAGTCGGGCTGGTTGCCTCTTCCCCTCTCGAGGGAGAGGCTGGGTGGTTGGGGGTAGGTGCTGTTGGTGGCCTGCGAGAGGTCAGGTTGGCTCGCCAGGGCTCACCTCCCCTCTCCCGTCCCCTCTCCCCCAGCTCTGTCCCTTTCTCCGCTCTCCCCCTTGCCTTCTTTTGGGGCAGGCAGCATTTAATCTTGTCTTCATGGCCAAGAAGCCTTGTGCCCTTGTCTTTTCCTCCTGCACTTGGTTTTCCACCACCATGGCTTCAACTCCCTGCCTTCCTCTCCCTTCAAAGCAACAGCTTCCACCCCCTGCTCCAGAGAAAGGGAAACCTCATCTATTATTTTAAGGGCAAAACCCTGGCGGAGGATTCACCTCTGGGATGTTTGTGAGCCAATGGCTCTGATGCACTTTTTGGCATCTAATTAGTTTCCTAAATTACTAAGTATGACCCTGACCCCAAAGGAGTGTGAAAAAAATCTTAGATTCCTTCGAAATACATCCTCGTGGCATGGTCACTAATCCAGCAGGAACAGAGTAGGTTTTGATGGAAGAGGATGGGGACAGAGCACTAGCAAGAGCAGTGTCCTCCCACGGGCTAAATCCTGAAGTAAATCCAACCTCATTTACGGGCATTTCACATAAATAAGGAGTGAAGGCATACATGCCTTCATACCATTGAAAAATCTAAAAATCACCTTGTTAACATCACAGTTTTTAGCGCCTACTCAAGTCAGTGGAATTTTTTCCTATTTTTTTATTTCATTATGTCTGTGATAGGCCCCTGGTCTGGCTTTGTACGTGTATCGTGATTCCAGAATCCGACCCTAACTAAGGGCTTCAACACTAGACTGCTCAGGGTTTTCTACTCCTTCTGTGCAATCAGAATTCAAGAGTAATCTGCAGAAATACTCTACCCTGCTTCCACAGACACCAGCTGCAGGATTGGGCCCTGAACTGAGGAAAGCTTGTATAAAAAAAAGAGAGTCCAAAGTCCAGCGTAAGGTAAAGTTTTCTTCCCCCTACCAAAAAAGGTGTTGGTTGTATGGGGCTTCCCCCCCCCCCCTTTTTTTTTTTTTTTTTTTTTTTTTTCCTCTTTTTTTTTTCTCTTGATCCTCAGTTATTTATTCTGATAATCATGTTTGGTGCATATTTTATCCACTGGCTGGTTCAGCTGTCACTGGTAGTGATTACTGCCAAAGGCAGGGTCTGTCTAATTAATGTTTTCCTTCTCATCTGCTGAATTTATATAGCCATTAAAGATAAATATGGATGCTTTGTGGCATTTAGACCCCAGATTATACTTTCTCATACATAGCCACTAGGGAGACTTTTGCTGCATCTTATTATGGCACAAAGGCACCAAAATGCTTAAACAGGGTAAGTCAGACTGAGTCGTGCCAAGTTGTTATGGCCCAGACAGTCTCTCTTTAGACATATTTTGAAGATAAACTTTATTCCCAAATAAAGCTTTCAACTGGAAGGTTGTTTTTTCCCCTGCTTCCCTGAAGTAGAAAGAATTCAAAGGGATGCTGTCATCTAGTTTTTGCCCAGGATCTGATCTGCTTTGAAATGGTTATGAGCTGGTAAGGAATTTTCTCTGGATTTAACTCTTTTCAAATAATGGCTTTGTTTTTACTGTTTTTTCTTAACATGCATACACAATAACAGCAAGATTTTGGGTACTCCTCTTCCCCTACAACCCCTAGAAATGCTAGGTAACATCCAAGAGTTCTGAAATGCTGCAAATTTAAAAGAAAACAGACTTTAAATAGAGTGTAACTGAGCTGTATAAATCACTGCTGCATTACTGCAGCCGGGATCTTAGAAGGATTCAGAAGAGGATCTGATACTCGGGTGGAAAATAACAACATCCAAGTGCCATAGCACAGAAACAGTTGAGATACGTAAAACACCTGTACTTCGGGGCAGATGCCAAGTTCTGAGTGCCTGGAGTCAAAAAGGCTTTTTTTTTTTTTTTTTCCCCTCCTTTAAGGAAAGAAACAAAATAAACCAGGCTGTTCTGTATTCTGTAGCTGTGCAATAGATGGTTGGTCTACCTTCTACTGAGGAGTATGGTTTGGGGTATTGTTAACAGCTCCTATGCATCATCTCTAAGACCTTGTGGTAGAGTAGATGGAGAAGTTACCACCCACAGTCATATGCGTGCGCTGAGCTGAAGGTCTGGCTTCAACCAGCATCTCCCACTGCCTAGCCTGGAGAAGCAAGGCACTTAGATGCTGTGTCTCAAGGAGGAGGAAAAAAAATAATATTCTGTCCTACCTTTCGACCTGAGGTCTAGCTCTGGGCACTTGAAGTTCACATCTGGCAAGCTCGCGAGTCAGCAGGGAGCGATCTTTTCTGAATGCTCTTTGCACATGGCTTTGTAGTGGAAGAGAAGAGGTTGTCTACTAAATTCCAGAAAGCCCAATGATAATGTTGCTGATGCCTAGAAGAAAGAGAAAAAATGTCTTAACCATCACCAAGTACTGCTTTAATGATGAAGAGAATAGGAGAGTCTGGGCTCCAGTATAATGCTGGCTGCACCAAGTCAAACGCATCAGGATCAATACTCCTTTCTTATCTGTGTAACTCTGACTTCAAGATGCCGGTTAATCTTGCTAGTCTCGAGTGCCGAAGCAAGAACGTGATGATGGCAACTGTGACATAAAAAGAGTTTGATTTTGCTTTTAATCGTGTGGCTTCTGTAGCCACATCCTGAGGTTTTCCTCTGGATTCTGATGAACCCAGCGTTTGGGCTTGCTTCAAAGCAGACTGCACAATGTACATGTGTATTGACCTGTCTATTTTATAGCTATAAAACAGGCTGGGGCTGTTAGCTGTGCTCAGTCCGTTGCTCAGCTGGTTAAAAGAGGATGCAAAACACAGACAACTGCTACTGCTCCTCATTTGTCTTTCCAAGCACCGTGCCCTGGCAGTTGGTGGCAACTGCTGAGCCTGTCGTTTGGGCGTAAGGCAGCTGCCTGCCTGTCATCAGGCAGAAAATGACATCACGTATCTGCTCCTTGGCCACTCGTCTGCGTTCAGCAGTTGGGAAAACACAGCACAGGGTTTAGCAGAGACCAACGCAAGGCTGGTTCTGCTCCTACGAAAGTTGGGGGCTAACCCCTCCATTTTTGACAGCACTGGGAGCAGGAGCCAGATCAAAAAATATTCTCTTAATAACTAAAGGCCTACTTTCCACATACTTGAATTTACAGCACAGCTGGACTATTTTGAGGGACTAAAGGCACTTTAACTGTCTTTTAATGCAATGTATTTACTATGGATTATCTGCATGGAATACAGTCTTAATATTAAAAAAAAATCTTCCTTTTGGACTGCTTTGTTTTCAAAATAAAACATGCAAAGGATTACTGGTCATGTTATGCGAACTTCTAAGCAGGATGGGAATTTATTTTCATCTTGTATTCTTTTAATTGACGCTATAACAATACAAGGATTTTTTTTTAAGACATCCTTTTCTGTCTTAGTAATAACACATCATTATCAGGAGGTGTTCCCAGGATATATCTAGGATAACAACTACTGTAATTGAGGTTTGAATCAAGACTATAAATTTCTTCTGATTTTATTCTGCTCAGCTTATTTAGATTTTTTTTTTTGCAGGCTTCTCAGCTTGAACAATGAAGTTTGCTTGGCCCATTTGACTTTTTGACAGGTTTAGTGTTTTGATCTTTGCACTAGCACCAAATTATTGAAAAAACGTAGATCACTTTAAAGGTCATTATCTGAGACCTCTGGGTAGCACCTCCATGTTTCGGCTTCCTTCGCTATTGTACATGAGAAGGAGGAACAAATTGGCGTGATGCAGTAACTGAAAGGAGATGATGAACTGTAGGAAAAGGCCCACCTTGCAATTAACTATGGATAGCAATAGATTAACTCCTGGGGGAGCTTTGACAGCACTGCTTCCCTGTGTGTTACACCTTGAGTAGCTGATAAGGGCATAGCCAGAACAAGGACTTACCCGTAACCCTTTCCACGCACTTACCTTGCAAACTGCTGTACCATGCAGAAATACCCAAGGCAGCACAGAAATTGGAGCAACTCGGTCCTGCTTCACATCCCCTGCAAGAGGTAAGTAGGAGCCTCGTTAGCGACACAGAGATAGAAGGACGTTCACACAAGCAGGACGGAGCTGTAGTTAAGGTACTGGGTTGTAGGTGCAAGTCTCCCATAGTAAAAGCAGCTCCGGTATCGCAGCTGCTCGTCTGTAATATGTGAACACCACCACCACGCTTTCCCTGTGGCTATTTAATTTGTAAACTCCCCAGCCTGGGGCTGTTTCATAGCATGTATGTGTACTGTTCTTGGCCTTGATTCTGCTCAAGGAGCTAAATGCATGATTTTCTAAGCATAACTTTGTCCCAGCTACCCGTCACCATTTTTCATACCTCCTTTCAATGGCTATAACCATGTTGCAATATTGGAAAAAGTAGTAATATATCAGTGTCTTCTCATTTTCCCTTCCACCTTCCCAAGCCCCTCACGCCCTGTT